AGAGCCTATGTGGATGAAAATCACCGAGTTAATCCCAATCACCCTCCGGGGCCACTTGCTGCCCAGATCAAACTCCTGACTGGGATTATAATACACAAGCTGTCATACAGAGTAGGGACTGATTCTCTGCATGTATTGTTGCTGGGCTCAAAAAAGCAGCATGTAGGGCTGTCAATTTCCAAAATTTACAAGAGATTATTCAAAAGTGAGAGGAGACCCATCAGAATTTCTGGGTCAGCTTACAAAAGCCCTTCAGCAGTATACTAAACTAGATCCTGAAACCCCAGATGGCTGTCATGTCCTTATGACATATTTCCTCTTGCAGAGCTACCCCGACATCTGGGCCAAACTATAAAAGCTCGAACAAGGCCCTGCCACCCACCAGACTGAGATCTTGGTGGTAGCCTTTAAGGTCTTTCACAACTGGGAGGAGGAAATCAAGCACCGCAAGCACAGGGCTGATCACAATAAATTTCAAATGCTCACCCAGGTGCTACAGGGTACTTCCTTGGGTCGCGGCCCATCACTGAAAACTCCCACCCCCTGGGGCGCCTGCTTCAAGCATGGCAAGGTCAGACATTGGGCCAAGGCATGCCCCTCACCATGCACTCTAAGTAACCTATGCCCTAAATGTCAACAACAAGGTCATTGGGGTTCTGACTGTCCTAGATTCCGTAGGAAGCCTATAGCCAGGGAACCCTCTGACCTTTTGGGCATAGCAATCGAAGATTGATGGAGCCTTGGGTCCTTGTCCAAGACCATAATGATTAATAAACAAGAACCCAGGGTGTGGATTCAKGTGGATGGGCACAAGGTTGATTTTCTCCTTGACACAAGGGCTACCTTCTCAGTCCTGACAGAATTCTGGGGGCAAACAGTGCCGTCCACATCTCCTATTGTCAGGGTAGGAGGAAGGACCATCTGTCCAAAAACGACTGCCCTATTACTCTGTYCCATAGACAACTTCCCATTCTCTCAGACATTCCTAGTTATGCCCCAATGTCCAGTTCCTTTGCTCGGTCAAGATATTCTCTCTGAATTTAATACAACAATTAACATTTGGGCTCCTGGCATCAGTCAGGCCCCAGAATTAGCCTGTTCATCTTTTCTGGCCTTTTGGCAGAAGACTGGTCATTCTGATCCACTTATGAGACTGACATGAAAAAGGACCCCTTCMCTACAAACCTGGTTGACCCAATTGTATGGGATACCAACACCCCTTCACAGTGTTGCAGTAATTCACTCGCAGGTCAGCATGAGAAGGAAAGAAGAAGCAGAGGAAGCTAAGCAGCAGAAGAAAAAAAAGTCCTTTATTGTATATAAGCAATAAAGAAGGTTACCTTCCAACAGCAATAAATCAGGTCTTTCAGCTAGTTAAACATAGCATATAGAAATTTTACTTTCTAATCAGAAGTGACCCACTTTTCATAGTTAATTTACTCTCGGACCAGAGCATGCTGAGCTCTGCTCTTTGTTAAGAAGAGATAATAAATTTTTTCTCAGCGCCCTCCTAGACCACTTGGCAGAACATCCCGTTTGCAAGCAAGTTCTCCCAAGTACAGCAGACACCTCGTTTTCAACATGTTCGCTGTTAACTATCTATACCTTGACAGAATATCTTATTTGCAGGCAGACTCCATCAAGGACAGTAATAGTTATGCAGTCACATCTGATTCTCTACACATGGTTTCCTGCTCACCAGTTAACATTCATCTCAAAGATCCTAACACCTTCCCCAATCAGGCTCAATACSCCCCTGTCCACAAAAGCTCTTCTGGGCCTACAACCTATTATTCAGGACCTTCTTAGCAAGAGTACCTCCGTCCTGCTCATGCCCCTTAAAATACTCCCATACTAGTGGTAGTAAAGCCCAATGGGTCCTATCACTTAGTTCAGGACTTACAACTCATCAATACTTCTGTTAGGCTCATACATCCTTTGGTTCCCAACTCATACACCCTTCTGTCTCAGATCCCCCATACTGCCACCTACTTCTTGGTCATAGATTTAAAGGATGCTTTATTCTTCATTCCCCTTGTCCCCGAATCACAAGATCTTTTTGCCTTTAACTGGACAGATCCCACAACCAGACATCCTCAACAACTAACCTGGACTGTCCTTCCTCAGGGGTTTCAAGATAGTCTACACCTCTTTGGACAAACCTTGGTCTCTGACCTCCAATCTTTTCACCCCCCAGTGCCCCAAATCTACCCTCTTGCAATATGTTGAT